TGTCCCAAGACTGGTGCGTACGTGTAAATATTTACTTAGAAATACATGTAGTAACTTATTTGAATTTGTTATGGGTGAAGTTATATTTTGAAAGTTGAAATGGATAATGGACCAAAAGGGGCGCAATAGGGCCAGGGGGGGCACCCCATACAAAAAGCACTCACGTAAACAAAGTGTGACATAAGTTGCATGTACATGATTTCAACTCCAAAATTCGTTATGGTAAAATGAGTTTATCATCAGAAGAGGGTAACATTTTGGTGAATACTTCTCAATGAACTGTTACATTCTGCATAGAAAAGGCCCCTGGAGTGTGAATGAAGGCATGTCTGAATCCACTGGCTAGGGCTTAAGAGTTACACATGTACACCTTGTGGGAAATGGTTGAAGCGGCTAGCCACTGGCTGCCATGGAGGCTTTGCATATACTACCACAGCCATAACTTTCAGTCGGTGTGGCTGGCTCTTTGGCACTGGTCACCGTGGCGTGGTGAAACTTTTGTATTTGAACCGGGTCAAGGGAACATTTTGCCTTTGCTTTGTCCCCCAATCTAGTATTCCATTTGAAATTATGACACCTGTCAAAATGTGAAATTGAATTACTGAAGTAAATCACTGAATTAATTGTTCATTATTGCTTTCATTAGTGATTGCAATATTGGGTGTCACAAATGAGAAATAAAGGTATGGAACATAACCATATTGTATGGGCAAATATTTATATATACACCTGACAGTTGCATGTGGTGTTGTCAAAATTAATGTTTATTTACAGAAAAACGAATAACAATAGGATTTTTTTTCTGAATTCATGACTGTACATTTTTGTGTTTATTCTATACAGAACAATTTTCCCTTCCGTTTACACGGATATGTATCACACTCAATTCAAATACTACAAAAGTACAAGTGCACCGCGATCTTGGAGTGGTAAATATGACAACTCTGAACAGGGCTGAAATTGAAATCCTGAATAAATAAAGACAAAACTTAGTGTTAAACCTGGCATTCGGCACAAATATAGTAAATAGCATGCAAATTTTGCATATAATATCTACAACAATAATGATGCAACCGTGAAAGATTCACACCTTCACTTAAATATCTAGGCTGCCGTACACCTACACGTCCATGTAAAAAGCAGGGAAAACATTCCCTAAGGCAACTCATAGACACAACTTTGGACAAAACCATTTCCACTCACTGACAGGGTAAGTAATGTATTGATGCAAAGTACTAACACACTTATGTGACTACCATTAAATTACTGGCGATACCCAGTAGTGTGCTGTAGAATAAATTATGAATAAAAATGCATGTACATGTAGTTATATTTCCCAGAAATATCTGCAGTATCAAACTATAAATAAATAGAGTAATTAATTTGATGGATAAATATAGAACACAAGTGAGAGGTTTAAATTTCATGACAAAAATATTTCAATGAGATAACACGAGACGCAGATAATTTTAAGTGTCACTGTAAGTGGTAAAATGAGGTTTCTCAACACCTTTGCATAAAAATCTGACAATACGCTGGTGAGGACATCCTGAAAGCAGGTCACATTGTTACAGTCTTCCTGAATTCTGGACAACTATTAACATACAGCAATCATCGATTCCTTTTATCCAAACAGGAGGGTGTTTTCGTCAGCTGAAGTTACCCCATCAATTATCATTTCATCCTGTGCAGTGGTCTCAAAGTTGAAACGTCTGCTTCATGTTGCAGCCAGTAATCTGCTTTGAGCAGAAGTACCCTCTCCTGAACCCCAGCAGTCCCAAGTCCTCCAATTTCAATACGATTTTTACATACAACCTTGGGGGTGGGGTTGATTGAAAAGAGCTACTTCGGTCGGAAGTGTTCATTTTGTTGGTGCACATGCGACCATGACGCCTGCATTTCCTAGTCGTTCATGAACCAGCTAAGTTCAGTTCCAACCAAAGGAGCTTCCATAGCTGTGAAAACTGCGACCTCTCTCGGTCTAACTTGAGGCTCATTGTGCAAATGTACTTACCTTGAGAAAATTACATGTCTTTACTGAAGGATCTAAATCATATCATGCATAATGAGCATGACTCAAAAGCAATGCTAAAAATAGACGGCTCACAATGCTGTTGAAATATTTAAGTTAATCAATATCACTGACATATTTTCACTTAAATCACTCCATTTTTCCATCTTGCTAATAAACAGAATTGTGACCCGGAACTGGAACTTCAATGCTTTATCACATTTTACACACAATTTGACACCATCTATGAAACACTGACTTCACAAAAACTTTAAAATATGCCAGATGGATACAATTTATGCAAATGATGCTCTAAAAAACAATATATGAGGTAACCTTGGCAAGACACAATGCTGCAAATGCATCACACACATTGACATAACTAGTTGCACTGCAAAATGCCATTTCTTGTAGCAAATGCAACTGTTCAACTGAAAAGACTTTAAATTAATTCTTAAGTCAAAACCTGAGAAATTTTTAAAAAGCACTTCGCAATCTTTTTAAAAAAAGTTTCCTAGCATGTATAATTTGAAAACAACCACTGTGTGCATAAAGCATGTGTGTTTTTCAGAGATAACTTCATTCTTACAAAGTCTGTACTTAGAGGCTGGACATTTTGAATTTCATCTGTAAAATTTTCAGCCTCCAACCGGTCCTTCCCACAGAAACAGTTAAAAGAGATAGGGAAAGTTTGCTTCGGTTCATTAAAAGTCTAGGTTGGAGGAATAGAGGAAAATAAGACAGTGATTCATCTGTGATTGAAATCTATAAGATTAACGTTAAGGCTGAATGACCATCATTTAAAATTCTACGCTAAAAGTTACTGAATCAAGTTTTCTATTTACATGTTTAAGAGTCTATAAATATGGAACATGTAGCTATAAAAACAGACGGAAAAATACTTTAAATTTTTGAATACCTCAAAAAATACTTTGTGCCAAAGATGAGTACACTCTAATGAAATATTAGTGTCATTTTACAAAGGGTAGCTCAATTCATTTCTATTTGATATCATGTGTGGCTAAATGCATTGTCGTTAAAAGGTTGAATTAGGCCACGTCTGAATTACTTGGCTAAAGCCTACTGTTACGCACGAGTCTATAGCAGTGGCTGCAGCCAGTTCCCATAGAGTCGCGTGTAATTTGAAGCGGCAGCCGAGTGATTCGGACACGGACTTGGTGAAACATCCTGTTTCGTGAACTCTTCACTGTAATTCAAACGGGCAAGGGTGATGGAACAGGAAATAAGAAAGTGGAATGGGACATGTCTCAGGGTGAAAAACTTCAATCATTGTTATACATACATATTATTCTTCCAACCATTAACAGCGTCACATGAAACGGCAAAACACACGTCTTAAAGATCCATTTGTTTAGCTACATGCAGAGCTACAGACTCAAGTCACTTGATTGGATTCAAGTACTTATTTTTGTGACTCTTGACTTTACTTGTGACTATCAGTTTTGGACTTGTGACTTGACTTGGACTTGCACATTATGACTCGTTATCAACAAAAATCAGAAACTTAATCAAACCCATGAATGTTTTAAATTTGGCCTATCAACTTACGCCTTGCGTTTCTTAAAATAATCAGCGTATGACTTCGCTCGGCTCACAACTCCTTCTTTGGTCTTGTCTGCCCAAGGCCACATCTGAATCACTGGCTGTGGCTTAAAATCACACATCCATGACTAAACTTGCACTTGGACAAAAAGACTCATGACTTGCCGGTATTTGGACGAAATTGACTTGTGACTTGATTTGACTAGACCTGTGATTAAATGACTCGTGACTTGACTTGTGACTGGACAAAATGACTTGTGACTGGACCAAATGACTTGTGACTTGACTTGTGACTGGACCAAATGACTTGTGACTTGGCTTTAATAGACTTACAAAAATTGACTTCCTGCACCTCTGGCCGAATAAAGTCTATTTCTATCATTTCAGTTTAATTTTTGGCTATATCCAGTTCATTGTTTTATTAAGTAATATTTGTAATTTCCTTTACATTAGGATAACACTAGACCTACGTTCCTAGTTAGATGGACAAACTAATGTAAACCAGTTTATACTACTAAGACCTGCGTAGTCTGTGACAGTTTACCTGCAGTTTACTGGTCGATATGGATAACCAGAGTAACTAGAACCACTAATCCTTTTTTATGTTCCTGAAACAGTTATAAATTAAGTTTCATTGTGACCTTGTTATGTACATTTAACATCTCAGCTGACTCGGGCAACTTTATTCAACTTTACTAAATTTATACAAATTACTATAACTTACACTGCTGGAACCTGGTGTCACATGAAATTTGAACACCATAAAAATCTGGTCTCTATATGGACTCCCAGCATGGTACTGTCACTGAGCCTAAATTACATGGGGTTGGATTACAAACAACATCGCTACAGCTGGAGAAACCTGGTTCGGCAATTCTGTGACCTCATCTGCATTTCCATTAGCATCTTAGCCTTACGTTGGCTAGCTCGGATGCTGCTTGCTCGGGTAAAGTTCATATTCAAGTTGATGTTGCGGAAGGGGTTTTTGAATTTGCGCTGGGTCTGTTCCTCTTCCTTGGTCTGTGCCGTGTTATCGACATCCGCTGCTTTCTCCATCTCTTGGTTCCCCTTGCCTGCAAGAAGGTCAGCTAAGGAATTCTCACTGTGAGATTTGTGAGGAGATTTTGTGACCAGAGATCGGGGAGCTGTCTTCAAGTCTCGTAGATCAATTGGCAGGACTTCAGGAAGAGGATTCATTGTGACCAAAATTTCATCATTATCGTTGGCAAGCTCTGAGACTTGTAGCTCAGGTTTGAAGAGAGGAGACCCTGACCTTTGACCTTCATAGTCTATTGATGCTTCATCTTCAGCAAGTGTGTTACCACTTCGCCCATTTTCTGAAAAACTACGAGAGTCAACTGGTAAATGATCATGAAATTCCGGAATCCTGTGTTGAAGACTTTCTGATATTTTCCCTTCGTCAGCCGTTTCATGGTTCATGCTATCTTGTAATCTTTGATCATGAAGACTTAAGGCTTCTGATTTTGAATCAATGCCTGTTTTATGATCAGGCAGGTGACTGTCTGATAGTTCTGACATCCCGTCTTGGTTTGTGACACCATCCTCACTTGATACTTTGTCTACTTGCTTTGCCTGGTCCAGAATCCTGTCATTATCATAGTCTAGTTTCAAGTCTGCATCTTTGCATTCCACCAACCCATCTGGATTGGACTTGTCTGGATCCACGATCCTATCATCATAGGCTGCGTGACCTTTGGAATGCTTCTTCCGTGGTGTGATGTGTCTTCTCTTGAAGCTACGTTGATTGCGGCAGGGATCTGTGGCAAGTTCCCCACAGGTTGGCAACATGATATCGCCGTCGTTTAGCATGATGGGATCATCAGGATTCTCCTGTGGATAGTTGGGAATATTCCCGCCAAGAATCTCCAAACAGTCACCGATGCTCAAGGCATCATAAGATGTATCTGTTGATGAGGAGTAGGGACTATCGTCAAAATCATCATAGGTGTCAACATCATTTCTATCACAATCAATTCGGACGCTCCCGTCTTCTTCTGTGGCATCACTGTCAGTGCTCTTCTGGTAGATGAGTGTATGTGGTACATTCCCCAAGTTCTTCTTTTTATTTCTAGCTCGCTGGATTAGGTTCAGGTTGGTCACCTTGTTGCTCACGCTCTGTAGGTAGCGGGAGACAGCCGCTGTCCGAGGGCCAGGTCTAGAGGCAGGTCGTCGTGGCTGTCTGTCCCGAGGCTCACTATGTTTCTTGATGACCATCTCGGGGACAAACTTGTCTTGGAGCCACATGGTTAAACGTTTTTGGGAGGTGAGTTTGATTAACTCCTGGGGCACTTTCCTTGCTTTCCTATAAAAAAAATACAACACACCAATCCAACAAATATGTAGACTTGATGCCAAAACAAAAGCTTGGACTTAAACTTACAATGGTGAACTGGTGGATTGCCATGGACATTAGCTTTTGTTTTCAACAAAAATGATCCCTTAAGATAAAACAGGTTACCACAATGTGTATTCCTAAACAGCAGTTGTCCAGGCTGTAAATAATATTTACTGACTGGTTATGAGTTGGCATCAAAATAATTTGGGGATATCTTAGAAAGCTTTCAAATATTTCTTCTCTGAATTGAACATTCTTAATTCTGGGATGCAATCATGACAGAGACATATGACTGACCTTTCCATTTTGTCCTCAATGACCTTTAACCCCAGGGTGTTTGATGATCTGGCACGAGCAAATGCTTCAATCACATTGTGTAAAATATCTGTAAATCAATCAAAGTATCGTGTCAGTTAGATATGCAAATAAGTATTTAGTACAAGGAGGAAATTTCTCTTTAGTTCTTTAATTTTGTGACATCGACAGACAAGAGCAATAAAGCAAGGAACTCTATTTAAAGCTGAAGCATAACAGTGGAGAATGGTTCCTATCAAAAATATGGCTCCCTCATGAAATGAGGACAGAAACCTTTTGAACCAAGCTTTAAAATGATGAGATTTTCAATAACAGAATTCTTATGAAACATGAAAGAACTTGTTCGGCCTCCAGCAACAAATGACAATGAACTTAAGGAGGTTAGCCTGCACTGTTACAGTGGGGCAAAAACCATGTGAGGGAAAGGGGGGGGGGTTGGTCCATTGCTTACCATCTGACTCATGCTTGTTGCGTCCAGGAAGCACTTTCAAGGTGTGGAAGTAATCACCATCTCCACAGAAGGAGTGATACACACGGATGCATTTGTCTTTGGTGTTACTGAAGAAAGCCGCAGCAGATCCTGCAGGTGGAATCAAACCAGGGACCATAAAATGGCAACTCCACTAGTATGACCCAAACACCACTAAGCCATTAACTCATCATTCAAAGCTGTCGCCTCGTTAGACTCTCTGAAGGATTTTTTTACAAACTGGTTGAATGAAATACTCAGACTGCCCACCAACACTCTAATTCCAAGGAGTATAAATGCAACTCTATTACTGGTGTATAACACTCAAATTGTTGACGGAAACCAAGTTTCATACCTATTCCTATAGCTTCCATGTCTTCAATGTTAATCCTCTCATATTGTGTAATTTTCTCTGCCTCATCATCATAGCTGAAAGACATTGCAAAAAAAGATATCAGTGTCGCATTTAAGTCTATCACAAGTCCCTTCACAGGACCAGCTATAAGTAACAGGGTGAACAATGACAAAGGAATGCTTTTGTCACAGCTCATTTGAATAGCTTGTGAATTGGCTTAAGGCTGAATGACTTGTGATGGACTTAAGGGGGACTAGTAGTGGACTCAACACTGATTGACATGATGTTCAGTATTGAAATGGTTCAACTTCTCCAATGGTGTTTTAATGGATTAACTTCTGTTTGAGCCTTTATTGACATATGGTGGGGTACTCACTTTGCGATGTAATAAGCTTTCTCTGTGATGAGTAGAATGACATCACGATCTTCTTCATCAGACTCCTCGGGATCTCTGTCAAGGAATTGAAGACACGATAGTGAACAAGATGCAGATTTCTATGAAATGTCAACATGCTGAGAAGGTGGAGCATTATTCTCCTCACATATTAAGTTCAAGACAGGCAAGGGAATCAAGGCAGTGTGTCTTGCTGTAAAGGATGATGTCCAGTTAGTTTGTCCATAAATGTGCGGCTTATAGGTTCATGTAGCTTCAGATAATGCCCAACTGTAATGTTTCAGGCAAGGGTAGAGACAAACAGACAGACTGACCAACCAAAACTCAATCCTTACATAGGATCACAGTTTATGAGCACCCAGCCTCCAATATAATGTTTCACTTCGTGTTTAGGGACAAGTAGCTTCAGGCAATGCTGTGTCAACTGGGTGATGTTTTCCTCCTTAACGTTGCTCCAGACTTCTTCAGCTGCTTCTTCATCGCTCACTTTCTGCTCAGTGATGACAGAGAGATCTTCTAAAACCTCCTCATTGCCAAGCATCAGATCTGAGAAGAGCAAGAAGAATGGAAGAGGTCAGTGTAAAAAACTACTAATGGTCAACAAGGCTGTCTCGAAAAGAGGAGAGATGCAGACTCATTTGTTTCTAGACATTTCCTGTAAAGTGATAATTCTAATTTCATGTGACAATACAAGCGTTGAATAAATTATAAATTTTCAGAAAAAGTTTCTGAATTTTTGTTTTACAAAATTTTAGGTCCTCTCAAATAAATGACTTTCTGGAGAATCCTTTTAACCCCTCCAGCATCCATTTCATTTTTGAGTAACAAACCATCCGTTGACTCACCGATTGTAACTTGTTTATATGCATCTTTAAACTGATTCTGCAGATAACGGTTAGCTGAATGGTAACCGTCCCTCATCATGCCGGTAAATTTCCTCTCTCCAGTCCGAGTGTAGTCACCTTTTAGCGCTGCGGTGCCAGCGTACTGACGGCTGATGATATCCCCATTGCTGGCCCACATGTCCTGATATGTTTGTTTGACGGTTGGGGGTAATCGCTGGTCTGGTAGGAGAATGCCTAGCTTACGAAGCTGGAGACAAGTAACATCAAAGAGAACAGAATGGACTTCATATACATTTTGATTTTTACCAAGAGTTTGCAGCATTTACCCCAACTTCCTCTCTGCATTTTTTGCCAAAATACTTCCCATATCCTCCACTATGCAGAAATCCTGTGGTATATGAACTATACCCAAACTTTCTAAGGGGTATCAAATGCAAATTAACGCAATAGTGACAGGGCATTGCTTCCTTCAATCCTACAAACCTCTTCCAAACTTTGTAGTTGCTTTTGATAGAATAACCAAGCGAAATCTTTGGTGATTTACCTGCATACTCAGCACAGCTCTAGCAAGTGCTGTCTGGACAACATTAGTTCTATCTAAGCAATCCATACAGTTGACTCTGAACACACTACGCTGCTCAAGTATCACACCTTGTCCGTCGATCCTGAAAAATGAAAAAATAAAAAAAGACCAAAATCTTGGGTCAGGAATAACCATCCAAAAGAATGTATCTGTTGTCTGTATTTTGCTTGTGTGCCCATGGCTGCATTATAAACTTTGTATTTGCTAGTTTTCAGAAACGGCTCCTGGTGTGTTCTTCTCTTCACAGAGATTCAATCAGATTCAACAATTCTGATCTTCAAATACTAGTTACCTTTGAAACCTAACCTTCCTAACACTTCTGTCTGTAGAACTTTGGATGCAAAAATGTTGAACAGAAAGTTTGAGTGAATTAAACTCACCAACAAAATCTCATATCTTTGATGATGTCCCTTATACTATCGATGAGAACAGACACATTCTCAAACTTCAACCCACGACTACATGAAGACAGAAAAAGGAATTATAATTACCCAGTTAGCAATATAAAGATCAAACAAACAAATCCCACTTTTTTCCAGCATTTCAAGAATTCTGAAAATGTATGAGGTTTATCTTGAAGTATAAGCTTCACTTTCCGCTTACCAATAATCATGAAAGTCAAATGTTACATAGGTCAGCAAGGGACTGTCCAACAACAAAACCTAGAGAGGAAAAAAAAATTCCTGATATCAGAGATGGGATAAATGACACAGAAACTGAATGTCATGTTTCTTTGCTAATTAAAGTTGCAGTACTTGCAAGTACTTCAACTTCGTCTTTATCTGGAGTTAGTTGCATGGGACCAGTATCAAGATATTTATTACCTTTAAAGCAAAGACTAAAGATGACATCATTCCGTTATCTAATCCTACCTGTTTCATGAAAGCCTGGCCAATGATGTCTTCTCGTCCCACCTGCTCCACTAAATTGATGATGACAACCCGCCTGTAGAGGGCGGTCTGCTCCTCAAAATGTGCCTCGCAGGCAGGACGGGTTTCATCCTCATCTTTGAAGGGAAAAGAAACAAAAGATCAAATCGAAAGAAACAAAAAGTGAAATAAATGAATTTCAAAAGAGATTCTGAATGGACAACATAAAAAGCAATGTTGTAACCAAGTTTAACAGATTTGGACGTTTCAAAAATCCTGAGTCTGTGCAAAATGACCACAAAAAAGCTTTCAGAAAAGATATGAAGGATCTTCACAATTTATCAGGTGTTAAGACACTTTGCAACGATACAGGTGCAACAAAGCAAGAGTTACGGGGTCTCATGTCAGATCGACAACAATGGCAATGCATCTGGGGTGTGTACGACCGGAAGAAAACTTTCAGACGATATGATCGATGACGATGATGAGGTGTTATAAGTATCCCCTGTTATTGTTACAGATTAACCAAATCTTTTGAGTGAAGTTTAAATGTACACCAAAACTCAAAAAACTGCTCCAGCAACCCAAGACCCCATTTATCAAGATGAATTTATCAGATTAATCTGCAACATTCAACCATTATTTAAAAAAAAAAAAGGCTGATTAATTAAGAAAAGCCTTTACCTTTCTCTAGCCTTGGGGGTGGTTTGTACTTAATCCCTGGCTGAGTAAAAAAGACAGGCATGGAGCCACGAACTTGGACAAAGGACACAGAGTGTTCCCGTGTCTGGATGATTTGTTCCGTCTCCACGTAATTAGCACAAGCACCTGTGCCATCAATACCTCGCCTTCTGTATCGAGTCCCTAGGGGAAAAAACAACAATGGATGAGAAAATAGCAATCACGTAAAGAGAGATTGATGTTTTCATGAAATGAGATTGATGGAAAATGTCAAGACTGGTAGAAACTATGTTTGGCTGAAATTGAGAGAAATTGGACATAGCCTGAGTCTCTGAGGGCATCAAACAGAAACATATTCCTAAAGAGTTTAATATAATGGATATCAGTTTCCTAGTGCTGACAATAAAATATGTGTACATTCTCACTAATGGGTTACCTTTCAAATTTTTTCATCTCCTCCAAAATAAAAAAGTAAAATATGCCCCTTCCCCGATAAGAAGCTATGCCCCTTCCC